CAGGCATACCTGGAAGCCTACCTTCCTGCTTGTTTGAACGTGGTAGGTATGAAGATAATGGCTGCAATACGGTTGGGTTTGTGGGTGGAGGGAGGCTAAAACAAGGCTGGAGCTTGCCGCCGGATGTGAAACCAGTCAAACTCAATGGGCTGGCAAATAGCGTCTCTGTCCTGGTGGTCTAGACATGCACCGAGGCGCAGTGCCGGAGCTCGGGAGTCTCACGTAGGAAACGACTCGGATCACCGTGCTGCCTGCTGCACGGGTTGGGGTGGAGACGTAAGGTGGTATTGAGTAGCAGCGAGCGATCAAAGAATCAAATGGTAGCAGCGTCGCAATTAGCGAACACGGGATTCCGTTGTGAATTGGCTAGCTGGGCATCAGGTGGGCAGCTATCCAAGGCATGGAACTTCGGACACGAGATGACAACCGCTTCTAGCACCAGCGCTGGTCCCTCCCTAAGACTCCAGCTAAGCTTCAATCCTCGCCGACCAACTACGTGCCTGTGCAGATGGAGATGTTCCGGTAGGTGGTGGTGTCATCATCCTCGAACCGCTGAAGCTTACAGGGGGTTAGTGCCTACCTTGTGTGTAGGGGTACTCTACCCTGTCAACAGGTGACAGAAGAAGCGAAACACTATAATAACGACCATTAATAGTAACTATACTCAGGGTAGACTGAGTAGCATAATGTAATAATGAAAACGATATGACTTAATAATATAGAGTGTACTCTCTATATATTTGTTAATTACTAGTCTGAAGTATACGAAAATACTTTTAATAACTCTCAAAGAATAGTAAGACTACAGAGATGGTGTCTTATTTCTTCTGTCACTCGACTGCTCATCTCGAGCCGAGACCCTACACCTACCCTAGATCTCAAAGCTCTCGGATGCCCGCTACCCTTATTAACCCGAACACTTTTGAATGAGAACTATATCGGTGTTTCTTTCTCGGATATGATTATTTCTCGTATAAGATCAGTAGGAACTCTAGGTATCAAAGGACAATTGGTTATCATTTACTAGAATATAGCTTCCGGAGAAATAATACTGTGCTTCTTGAAATCGCCCTTGAAACCCAATGAGGCTACAATAATACTTGATAACCTCTTTAGGCCTCTGCCTCTTAACTTACCAACAAAACAAGAATTGACTGGTTTCTAGATCCCTTGACCACTTGGTCATATTTTCTCGCAGGTCCACGGAGGTATTATACCCGACCTGAAATGGCGCTTTAGGGACATTCCTTCCATTGGTCGGCTCAATGCATATGTAGTACACCATTTGCTCAGCAGGGGTAGACACTTGATTGTTTCTGAAAACTGTACATGATTGTTCTCATCATTGTTATTTTAAGGTCTCTGAAATCCCGCGCTGTTCTATGTCGAAGTTGGCGAAGGAGTTCATTGAACTGATGCCAGCCTTATCGATCTCGGCTGGCGTGCTGTGGAACCCTTGGACCAACTAACTCAGGCTTTCCTTCGAGCGTACCCAGCACAGGCAATAAGAATAAAACCGGTTCAATGATGCCTGTCTGCAAGAAAAACGACCTGGATGGGTGTGGCTACGGGCAGCCGTGAAGTAAACCATCAGACAACCACACCGTCGCGACGCGGTTGCTAGAACACCAACCTCGAGACTCATACGGTTGAGATAAAACCGACTCACAATAACTGCAAAATATTCTACGTCTTTTTGCCGCTCTTCTACGGAATCTAGTAAGCTACGAGTACATCTGCTATGGAAGTATAGAATATATATATATTCACACCATACCATTATGAGAAAATGTACGTTATGCAATGTGTATTTAGAGGCTCGCAATAATTAACACCTGGTTAAATCAATTGATAGAGCGTGGGACCTCCAATTCAAACCAAATTTGATATCAGGAGAGGACTCAATTGCGCAAGACTCTGAATATGAGGCTTCGGGTATCTCATGCGTCACGCGATTCCGGTCCTTGAATATCGCGGCTGGAGGATTTTCATTTAGTGAAACATGTTAACCGCCCGTTAAGGGTCCAGACTCGAATATATTTGGGTGGTTCGGTCTGGTCTCATACTGCGCGTAGTCCCTTCCAGGTGATCATTCTAGGAGTGATCAAACAAGACAACTTGTGTACATTCAATGAAGGGCAAGGGGAGGAGTGTCAAAATATATGACAATACCCAAGATAAAAATGAATTTCTCCTATCATTGTGTTAGTTGTTGTAAGTTAACACTTCGATAATCTATGAACTGCCCAGCCCCTGTTACCCCACATCTTACCCCACGGGGGCTCATTAACCCGGGCTAGGTACTCATACTACCTGCTACAAGAATGGAGTAGATATTCTGTACCATCCGTCAATCTTTGAGCAGCCCAGATAGCATACGCTTGAATAATGATGAGCAATGGGATGCAGCATTTGGACGGACCAGGCAGCAAGCTGGAGCAGCACTAGACTATGCATGTCTCACTCCGTTTGCGTCTCAGAGCTATTGATTAGCAGCGAGATCCCTGACGCGAAAGCCATGCGGGGTAGCAAGATGATTGATTTTCATTGGAATAAGACATGACTGGGATCAGATCCCGCATCCGCATCCGCACGCTTGGCGCAGAATGCCGTTGCTGAGCCGATGATATACCTTGGCAAGCTTGGATAAGTACTAAGCGATGCCGAGCTTAAACCGCTTTACCCGCCCCATCCCCAAGCATCAGCGCCCGTCGTCGTATTATACATATCACTGGTTCAGCGTAGTATCTGGTAGTCATCATTTTGATTTCACGCCCAAGCCGACCCTGTCATTCCTCGTCCAAGAACACAATCTGCTTCGTCCGTCCGCGCCACCATGTCTGGGCCCCCGTCACGGCTGCGCTCCATCCTCAACCATCTCACCGGTGAGGGCGGCGACAAAAGCAGCCAGACGGCGACGCCGCCTCACATCCACCACCTATCGCCCACCTTCTTCCTCGAGCGCGCCCTCGCCATCGAGCCCCAGGGAGAGGCCATTGTCCACGTCACAGCCAACGGCGTCCCCATCCGCCGCACCTACCAGGAATTCGCCGACCGCGCACGCGGCCTCGCCTACTATCTCAAGAAGAAGGGTCTGAAGCGCGTCGGCGTCCTGGCGCCCAACACACCGGCTTTCCTTGAGGTTGGAACTCTCTTGTGCCTTTTGCATATCCTGCTTCTTCCCCCGCGCGTGTGTTAACATTCTGCTCTTAGGCCATCTTTGGCATTGTGGCCGCAGCAGGAACTATTGTTCCCGCAAATTATAGGTTGTCAGAGGATGAGATCTCCTACATCTTTGAGTTTGCCGAGGTAGACTGCATCATCGCCGATGATGAGTTTGCGCACCTCCTGAGCACGTTTCGGAGGAAGAAGAGCAACGTCCCTGTTATTGTTGATCTGGACACCGACGTGAAGGAGGGTCCCTCTAGTGGTCAGTACGACCAGGCTGTTCTGGAAGGTCTGCAGTACGATGCCGAGAATGGCTCTGCTGGCTGGGAGGGGCTGCATTCCAAGAAAGACGATGAGGATGACATGATTGCGATCCCCTTCACATCCGGGACCACTTCGCGGCCGAAGGGTGTTGTGTATACTCACAGAGGAGCCTATCTAGCCTCCCTGGCGAATGTCGTCGAGTCCAACCTGAATCAGGGTCGCTGCAGATATCTGTGGACATTACCGATGTGAGTGCCGCCAGCTGGAGTGTGTCGGGTTAGACACAAAGGGGGAAAAGAAAGCCTGTTTGAACCTTGGCTGATGCAGATGGTTTTGCAATAGGTTCCATGCCATCGGATGGACATATCCATGGGCGGTCGTGGCAGTGCGCGGTATTCACGTCTGCCTCAGAAAGATCAACTATCCTCTGATCTGGAAGCTGTTGAAAGAAGAGAAGATCACTCATTTCAATGCTGCACCGACCGTCAACACCCTTTTGGTAGCTAGCGAGGACGCGGAAAGACTCCCTCAAAAGGTCCATGTCACCGTTGCCGCAAGCCCGCCCAGTGGATATCTCTTTGAACAGATGGTATGACATCCAACCGTTTCCCCCCATCGCGACTCACACGACAGATGAGATGCTGACACTAACTTCTGTGAAAGACGAAACTGAATCTCCACCCCATACATGTATATGGAATGACCGGTATGTGCTTCACTACCGAAGAAATATCAACTCTTCGGCTCTCCTCTTCCACTTCGACCACTGACCAATGTCACATTTAGAAACATATGGCCCTGTCACTAAATCGTACCCCATGCCAGAGTGGGAGGAGCTTCCAGACCAAGAAAAATACGCCAAGATGGCAAGGCAGGGCCACGGATTCATTTCAAGTCTGCCCGTTTGCGTGATCAAGCCCGACCAGCCCGAGGGTGTCCTCATCAACGTTGCCAAGAACGGCTTCGAAGTCGGCGAGATCGTCTTCGCTGGAAACAGCTGCGCCAAAGGGTACTTCAAGGACGAGGAGGCGACCAGGAAGCTCTTCGCGGGTGGGGTTCTGCATTCTGGAGACCTGGCCGTGTGGCACCCCGACGGCAGCATTCAGATCTTTGATCGGTCAAAGGACATCATCATCTCCGGTGGCGAGAACATCTCCTCGGTTGCGCTGGAGTCTCTGCTGGTTGAGCACGAGGACATCCTCGAGGCCGGCGTGGTGTCGGTGCCTGATGAGCGTTGGGGCGAGAGTCCAAAGGCGTATGTCACGGTGAAGCCGGGGAAGACGCTCAAGGGGGAGGACGTGATTGCCTGGGCCAGGAATAACGGTCGAATCAGCCGGTTCATGGTACCGAGGGAGGTGGAGATTATTGATGAGCTCCCAAAGACAAGCACCGGCAAAATTGAGAAGAAGAAATTGCGGGCCATGGCTACGGCCAAAGACGAGTAGTGGGTTCAAATCGTTGGGATACCGGAATGTATGATCCGGGAGAGCAGGAGAGAGCCCCGGGAGATGCCATGATTTAACATGTATGCTCAGAGTGGACTGGTAGCCATATTAGAAGTCATAATACTACATCACATTAGCAGGAAACCGTGCTCCAAGCTTTCCTTCATCGATCCCATCGAGAACGGACATGTCTGTGTCATCGAGCTCAAAATCAAACACTTGAGCGTTCTCTCGGATTCTCTCTCGGTTCTCACTTTTTGGGAGCGGAATCCAGCCTTTTTGTAGGCTATACCGTATGAGGACTTGCGCTGGTGATTTCCCGTTCTCGGTCGCGATTAGTTTCAGCCTTGGGTCGCTGAGTCTTGCTCCAGTTGCCAGAGGGCTATATGCTTGAATTATAATGTTGTTGTCCCGGCAGTATTTGACCAGTTCCCGTTGCTGGCACCAAGGGTGTAGCTACGAGCAAGTTAGTTTTTATTGATAAACTCAGAGAAAAGATGAGTTTGGACATGTCGGAAGGACACAAGTCAGTACCTGCCTCAATTTGATTGACGTGTGGAGGCCATATGCTTGCATGCTCCTTCAGCTCCTCGAGGTGGTCGATACCAAAGTTGCTGACCCCAATGGCCTTGACTCTACCTTCAGCATGGAACTTCTCTAGAGCAAGCCACACGTCCTTTACAGATCCGTTGCGGAACCTTGGGGTATGAATCAGAAAGAGATCGACATATCCATCCGGGCCTCCTCCTAAAGCCTCAATGCTCTTGAGAAGACTTTGGTGAAGGTCATCGGTCCCCCCGCGCCACTGCTTGATCTTGGTTGTCAAGAACACTTCTTCCCGGGGAACAGGTGATTCTGCAACGGCAGCAGCGACTTCCGCCTCGGATTTGTAAAGTTGCGCACAGTCGATGTGGCGGTATCCATGCTGCAAAGCGCTGAGACATGCAGCCTTGCATGTATGTGGGGGGATTTTGTAGACTCCAAATCCTAGAGTCGGTATGCGGAGGCCTGAGTTTCCGATAGGGAGGGTCTTTCGTAGACTGTGTGTTCTTTCAATCGCCATGTTTCATGCGAGTTGATTTGTTTAGTTTTGTAGTTGAACAGCTGACTCACTGCCTCGATATATTTATTTGTTCTCCACTAGCGAAGAGCAATGGACTACTTCGGCTACCATTTCTATATATACAAAAATCACAACCTCCGAGCCTCAAATTGACGATTTCGAATAAAATACTACGAATTCTGTTAAGTTAACCAATGAATGGAGTGAGTTGTAAAAGATGAGCAGTGTTCCCCTGCCGTCTCACTACCGGGTAGCCAGCTATCGGCACTACAACGATGGTTCTGGGTGGGTGGAGAGGCAAGTGGGTGAAATAAAACATGGCACATCGAGATAGTTCAGTACTAAAACAATAAATAACCTAGTACTGAATACAATATCAAGATAAATATTATAGAATAGGTTATTATTCTCTTCTTATTCTCTTGTTATTGTGTTCAGTTAAAAAGGGAAGTCCCTGCCTTACTGTTTTGTTTACCCACGGAGCTATAGCATGGCCTGATCATTATGCAAGTGACCCAACCAAACAAAAGTTGGTAGAATCGAACGGAATCGAAGACAAGGCTGAGAGTTGTTTGTTTCTCGCAATTGGATGCCGTTTCCGCATGATACAAGCAATGCTACCCAACTTCCTCGAAACGCAGCCATCAATTTGTCTATCCATCAATAGGCTGCATGGCGCTCCGCCGCGGGCACTAAAATCTTCGCGACGGCTGTAGAAGGTTCGCTGCAAGGTTCAGGTGGGCCCTCCACTGACGCTGCTGTCACTGCACTCTGGCAGCAGCGAAGTGGGAGCCTTTACGTCACGGGCATTCACCTCGGTGGGGTCAATCATTCCATCCCACCAGCTTGCCATGCTCCCTCGTCTTCTTTTCCTGAAGAATAAACTCCATGCCATTGCCACGTCCGAGGACATCTCGCCGAGGCCCAATTCCTCCTTCAGTCCCTCGAGAAACTCAAATCCTTATCTACCATAACCAAACATCCATCTTGCTCGAGCTAGAATATGAGTGAGCTGCCTGGACGGCCTGCCCTGGCCCTTGCGACAAGCGCTTCCCCAGGCGCCGATGTGCTCCTACGGCCAATACGAGGAAGCTGCAGCTGTGGGAGAAACCGATTCATCGTTACTCTGCCAACTGATGGCATTCACCAAGCACAGGTCCTCTTCAATACAGACCGCGTCCATCGTAAGTCGATTCGCCCCTAGCCGCACCCAATGGGATCCTCGGTCTTTCTCTTCTTGTCAATTACGAACTCATGGCTAACATTATTCCGCAGAGGTCCCCCTAGGAACCCCGTTGGCCGCCTACCTGCGCGTGCCTCTCTCCTGGTACCATAGCACGACCTTCGCCCAGTTCCCCGACGAGACCCACGCGATGATCCGGAGAGTCTACACGCCTCCCAACCAGGGCTCCCCGATGCGACATTTCTGCGGCTTCTGCGGCACGCCCCTCTCCTATTGGTGCGAGAATCCCATTAGCGAAGCTTCTTATATCAATCTCACCCTCGGGAGCCTCCTACAAGATGATCTACGGGATCTCGAGGACATGGGACTGCTCCCCGACGACAAGTCGGACAGCGAGCAAGAGGCGCAGGGAGGCGAGGGCGAAGAGGGGCCTGCAAGCCCGGGTCTCAGATTGGCCATGCGAGAATCATACGGCGTCCCGTGGTTTGATGGGCTGGTCGAAGGGACCCGCCTGGGGAGGATGAGGCGGACGCAGGGCATCCGGAGCTCTGGGGATGGCAGGGTGAGGGTAGAGTGGGAGATTGTGGAGTTTGATGGTGATGACGATGATGCCAACGAAGGACAGGAAATGGATGTGGACGCAGCTCCCGCGGCTGGCGGGAAGCGGAAGCGCGAGAGCACAGATGCGGCAAGCCATCTGAAATAATGACCATGTTTGGGGGGTGCGATTTCGTATATGATCTTGCCTTTCTTTTCTTTGAGTATCTTGGCAAAAAGGGAAGGTGCTGGTGGTTCAGAAGTTTGCGGGCCGGCATGCTTGGAGTTGAGGATTCGAGTTGCGATGCATCTGGATGGCGAAGGCCGAGGTTCGGAGAATACGCCCGTGGCTCGCAACATAAAACGTAGGAAGGGTGATTTCTGGAGTTATGATCAGTAGCAGAAGCTCGGATAGGGTTCATCTGATGCCATAGCATCAATGTTTTACAGTTAATATATATCGAATTTTTTTGCTATTGTGGTGCTCTGATGCGAATTACTCCAGTCAGTCCAAACTCCCACTGCAAAAGCAACAGACGAAACAATTGGGTGCCAGTGATCATTTGGCTCGCTACCGTGAGCAGTGAATACTCGTTACTGGACCTCGGGCTTCTCGGGACGGGACTTGAGCTGAACGGTATTTTCCTTAAATAGACCTTCCTCCACGGGTCATACATCGTAAGTTTCCTAGCTTCTGCTAGCTGGCGCTTGGCATTGTTGTTGGTAGGCTGGCCGTGAGAAGAGGCCACGGCGGCGTATCCTATGTTGGCCAGGCCAATTGGTCTCGAGGCCGGGAGAATTATGTGATTGTTCTCAAGAAATACCTAGGTAGGCAAGCAAGGCAATATTATATGATATTATTAGCCGTTGATGACATTGGCTACACTGTGACTCTGGATAGGGGTGGGGTCAATGGCCGGAGAGACGGGCCGGCGTGTCGTTTCGGCCAAGTTCCCACGGAACCGAAGCGTCGAGTCGTTGCTCCAGAGGCTGAGGAGAGCTACAGGAAGGACCCTGCAATCAGGTCAATCTTCACTCAGACGGCCACCTGCCTGCAGCCTGGCCGGTAGGGACCCCACGGCGTCGGCGAGGCTGGCGTCGCAGCGGCCGGGAGCAACTTATCCCTCCAGTCGCTTGCTGCCATTTCCCCAGCGGCGCTCGAGGTTTCGGAACGGCTCCAGCCAGGCACCTACTTTATGTGACGGAATGGCTGCAGGCGTGCATACGACCCCTACCGGCTGCCCCTTCCCTCCCTACCTCCTCCCCTGCCGCGCCGGGCTACCCTAAGCTCTGTTGGGCAACGGACCCCCGAGACTGGGCTGCACAAGCGAAACCCCCACAAACCCTCGACTGTCCCTCCTCCTCTCTCCACTCCCCTTGGGAGCCTTCTCCTCATCGTGGTCTCAGTCCCTCAGCTATCGACCACGTCGTTTTCGGTCGCCACGGTCCGATGCCAGTCACTTGGCTCGTGGACACGGGACCCTTTGCCAGGGCCAGTCCATGCTATAAAACATGGACTCCCCGGTGGTTGAGCTCCAGATGGAAATCCTCACTTTACCTACCTCTTCATACGATTGTCCCCTCTCTGTTCGACACAGACAGCGAAACTGTAACGCCATAAAGGTCGTCCACCGAAGACGATCAATAGAGTAGTGGGCTATCTATTAGCCCAAGTGTCTCCCTCCTTTATAGATACATTGAAATCACACCAACCATGGCTGCACTGCCAAGCGACTTCCAATGGGGATTTGCTACAGCCTCGTACGTGAAACTGATCCCGTCTTTGACGTGTATATCTTTGTTGTTGGTAGCATTTATCTAACTGTTGCTTGGTCAGATATCAAATTGAGGGTGCAGTTGACAAGGATGGTCGTGGCCCGAGTGTTTGGGACACCTTCTGCAAGCTCCCTGGCAAGATTGCCGGCGGGGTCTCGGGTGATGTAGCCTGCGACTCCTACAACCGGACTGCCGAGGACATTGCCTTGCTCAAGTCTGTCGGCGCAACTGCCTATCGCTTCTCGCTCTCCTGGACTCGCATAATTCCTGTCGGTGGTCGTGGCGACCCCATCAACCAGGCTGGTATCGACCACTACGCCAAGTTCATCGATGACCTGCTTGCCGCCGGCATCACGCCCTTCCTCACTCTGTCACATTGGGATGTCCCTGATGGGCTCGAGAAGCGATACGGCGGCGTCTTGAACCGTACCGAGTTTCCCCTGGACTTTGAGCATTTCGCCCGCGTGTGCTTCAAGGCTTTCCCCAAGGTCAAGCACTGGGTCACTTTCAACGAGCCGTGGTGCTCTTCTATCCACGGTTATTGGTCTGGCCAGTTTGCCCCCGGGCGTGGTTCGAACCGTGAGAAGAACCCCGAGGGTGACAGCACTACTGAGCCCTGGATTGCCGGCCACAACTTGCTGGTGGCACACGGTCGTGCCGTCAAGGTCTACCGTGAGGAGTTCAAGCCGACCAATGGTGGAGAGATTGGAATCGTTCTCAACGGCGACGCTGTCTTCCCCTGGGATGCCACTGACCCTGAAGATGTGGCTGCCTGCGACCGCAAGATTGAGTTCTCCATCTGCTGGTTTGGCGACCCAGTCTACTTTGGCGAGTACCCTGCTTCGATGCGCAAACAACTAGGCGACCGTCTGCCCACATTCACTCCAGAGGAGAAGGCGCTTGTTCAAGGCTCAAATGACTTTTACGGAATGAACCACTACTGTGCCAACTATATCAAGCACCGTACTGGAGAGCCCGAGCCTGATGACCACATGGGGCACCTGGAGGCCCTTTTCTACAACAAGAGAGGTGACTGCATCGGCAAGGAGACCCAGTCCACATGGTTGCGTCCCTGTGCTCCCGGTTTCCGCGACCTGCTCGTTTGGCTCAGCAAGCGATACAACTACCCCAAGATCTTCGTGACTGAGAACGGAACTAGCATTAAGGGGGAGAACGACCTTCCAAAGGAGCAGATTCTTGAGGACGACTTCCGTGTGCAGTACTTCGATGACTACGTCAAGGCAATGGCGACCGCTTCGGCTCTGGACGGCGTCAACGTCCGCGGCTACTTTGCCTGGTCTCTCCTGGACAACTTTGAGTGGGCTGAGGGATATGAGACACGGTTTGGTGTCACTTACGTAGATTACGAGAACGGACAGACGCGGTACCCAAAGAAGAGCGCAAAGAGCCTCAAGCCCCTCTTCGATAGTCTGATCCGGAAGGATTAAGCAATGCACATTATCACGTAACGACAATGAAAGGGACAATGAAGAGAGATGGACTG